AACATGAGTGTCTGGGAACAAATTCTCAGCAAAACGTTTAGATATAATACCAATGAAATGAGCATAAGGTTTTGAATATATTTCAGATCTCCTGATATCTGATGCGAGTTCAGTTGTAGTAAGTTGGCTTCAGAATCGTTCACTGTTGCCCAGTTGGAAATGTCTTATCAGCCACTGCTCTCAGACAAATTATCCGTGATTGAAACAATGTCAGTAGCAAGCGGGCAGGGCGTTCCTAAATATTGAAGAGAAGTTCATACTTCTGGCCATAATGGTTAGTTTTTTACACCTGTTGTTAGTTGTGTCATGCTTGAACACTTAAATTTTCCTTAATAAATTCTTTTTTTATTGAAAATCATGGCTTAATGTATGCATTGTATTTGTTAAAGACGATCCCACATTTACGGAACATGGGTAGGGAAAGAGAGTGCTTCGATATTTTCTGTGTACTTCACTCAACAACTCTCTCGGTGTCTCGGGCAACATGGCGTCCACTGTAGGGTAATCAGTGATAATGTACTGGAAAGGTGTGGAAGGAAGCGATCGTGGCCTAGTAAGAGATACTCTACCAATACACGCCTGGAATAACAGAAGAAAACTACGAAAAGTCTCACCCAGAATAATTTGTGCCTCAGCTGAATCTGGAAGCGTTGGCGCTTGAGCCAGTTCACTCCACCAAATGTCAGAATCCCATGTTTCTAGTCCGATTATTTCGAATTTGATGTGGTTCATGTATAACTGTACTAAAGCACCAAGATCACTGAAGGGAACTCGGGTAGTATAATATTACGGCTCATTCCAGCAATTGTGCTATCAGTTGGTTATTAAAAAATTAGACATCGCGTGTTCGAGTTCGTAAGGCGAATAAATTGTTAGAAAAATATTTCGCTGCCTCCTTGTGAAACACCAGTTCTTTTTGTGTTTAACAACAACTGCGATGCCAGTTCATACCCGTTTGTATTTGTGGAATAAGGTAAGCCTGTCTCTTTCAGTAAGAGCCAGGATAGTTCAGTGAGTATAGCGACGGACTACAGACTGGACGAGTGAGGTTCAATTCCTGGCAGGGACAAGAGATTTTCCTCTACTTCATGGTGTCCAAACCGAATCTGGGACCCACCAAACTTCCTATATAATGAGTGCAGGGAACTCTTTCCCCGGGGGGGGGGGTAAACTGGCCGGCACTTGAAGCTGACCACTCACCTCCATCTAGCGCCGAGAGTGAGAATTGTGGAGCTGTACCTCCTCTCTCCCATATGTCTTCATGGCGTAGTGCTTAGTTGATTGAGTTCAGGGAAGGCTTTGGCTTTACCTCCCAGTTTCCTTCAGCGACCTTAATGCTAGTGGGAGCTCTAAAGTTATATTTAATATATTTAAAACGCATTCATCTGAAGAAGAATTAAACAAACTGCATTCCTAACAACTGAAGATTTTCTCGGCTGAAGTGAAACGTGAAATTGCAAAGAAATGTTAAACATCCCCAATGATATGCCATTCAATCACGAGGCAGACACGATGACAGATTTTCATGGCCTCCTGACTAAAATGTGCATAATATATACAGAAGAAGGGTATTCAAAAGAAATTGGGTGTGACGAAATTTTATAGTCAATATCTGCTATCAATTTACCTGATAGCAACACAGAACACAAGGGAAGTGACGACAAGCCATTAGCCGTTGCTTTGGACTGAAAAGGAGTAGCAACATCAAGGGGTATTTTTGATTGTGCTCGTATGCATTAAGTTGGAATACACACGTATACCTATCCTATTCATATTGCCTGTTAGACTGATGCTGCTCAGAGCATGTGGCTGCTAAAAGTATCGAAAGGAATCGACCTTTGCACCTCGACAAATGTCAGTGGTGTTTAATTCATTTCTATACGACACGAAGTGATGAGAAACTTCGTGATTTAGCCTATACAAGTCATCTTGTGTTACCGGTATATTACCGGGTAACCTGGCCGGAGTTTGAAGCTAATCTCTGAGATATGGAAATATTGGGGCTTTACCACCACTTCCATATACGTTTCCGTGGATTGGTAATTAAGCACAGAGGCACCTGTACGCTGTATTTTCCTCTTGTATTTGGTTAGGCGCCGGTCACGTTAGCCGAGAGGTAGTGTCTTCGCTGGCTTGGAAACCGGGATCGTGGGTTCGAATCCTACTCAGGGCATGGATGTTTAGTTTGTGTGTGTGCGTTTTTCTGTCTTTGTGTAGAGGTAGAGGCCTTGCGACGAGCTGATCACCCGTCCAAGGAGTCCTACCGAATAAAAACCGAAGTGAACGGAGAAGTTCATGGAGGTAGGCCTAGGCCCACTGGGGCTGTAGCGCCAAGGAAAAAAACATGGCTAGGCAGGTAGATATTATGGCAAGAGAAATGAAGGAAATTGAAGAAAGAGAAAGAGGTAGTGAGGTTGAGAGGAGAAAAACCAGAGGAACATTTTCTGTGGCTACTAGATGTCTTTAATTTTTGGATTCAGGCACAACTGTGATGAAGACAACAGTAGAAGCAATGGAGACATTTCTCCCACTGCCCGGACAGTCGGTTGGTTCTGTGTGTATTCAGACAGTGGAACTGTGTTTGTGCTCACAGATCCTAATATGTACTCACATTCATCCTTCAGAAAATATTATTACAGACCATCACCACTAACCAACCCCACATCTCTCATTGCTGGAATAGACTTCCTACACATGTTTCCCCTGTCTTTTGTGTACAGGCCTGCTTCTCTTTTCCATGGGGGTGGGGGGTTCTGTGTAGTCACCATACAATGAACACAAACCATAATACACACAACTAGGATTACTAGCACATTTCACTTCTCCACTCGCCCCTTGCTCCACTGTGCATACAGGAACTAAGCCACATCAATCTACTCGACACATGAATTTTCCAGCATTCACTTCACCTTACGACACATGAATTTTCTGTGCGAGAGGCGACAAGGGGTTATGATACATTTCATCACTACCGCAGTATTTCTGTACCGCATTCTTAAAAACAACCCATTGACCAAGAGGTACGGGTTCGATTCCCGGCACTAACAGATTCTCTTAGAATTAGTGGGTCTGGAACGGGTCCCCTCAGCCTCGTGAGGATAATTGAGGAGCTATTTCAAGGAATTGGTCTAGAATTAAACACAGAGAAAACTAAGTATATGTTGCTGTCTCGTCACCAAAATGCAGGGCAAAAACAAGACATAACTATAGAAAACAGCTGATTTAAAAATGTGGCACAGTTAAGGTATTTGGGAACAACGATAACAAATCAAAACCTGATTGAGGAGGAAATTAAAAGGAGATTGAACTCAGGTAATGCTTGCTACTATTCAGTCCAGAAACTTTTGTCTTCCCGTCTGCTGTCCAAAAATTTAAAAATTAGAATATACAGAACTATAATTTTGTCTGTGGTTCTGTATGTGTGTGAAATTTGGCCTCTGACATTAAGGAATGGACATAGACTGAGGGTATCTGAGAACAGGGTATTAAGGAGAATATTTTAACCAAAGAGAGATGAAGTGTCAGGAAGTTTGAGAAAACTGCATAATGAGGAGCCTCATGACGTGTACTCTTCTCCAAATATAATTAGAATGGTCAAGTCAAAGAGGATGAGGTGGGCAGGGCATGTAGCACGAATGGGGGAGAAGAGGAATGCATATATGACATTGGTGGGAAAGCCAGAAGGAAAAGGACTAGTAGGAAGACCGGAACGTAGGTGGGTGGAGAATATTAAATGGATTTTAGAGGGATAGGATGGGCTGGTATGGATTTGATTGATCTGGCTTAGGATGGGGACCAGTGGAGGGCTCTTATGAACACCGTAATGAACCTTCGGGTTCAATAAAATTCTGGGAAATTCTTGAGTAGCTGCAGATTTAGCTTCTCATCAAGAAGGGCTCAGCTCCATAAGTAAGTAAGTGGGATTTGTAGTGGACAAAGTGGCGCTGGTACAGGTTTTCTCCGAGTATTTCGGTTTCCCCTGCCAATCTTCATTCCACCAATTGCTCCACAATCACCCTCACCTATCATCTGGGGCTGGTACAATAGGCCAGAAATGGCTGCAGGACAAAGGACTTAGTCCCACCCCACTAGCAATAAGAGAAGTAACTAAGCGGCTCCGGTCTAGAAAACCGAGGTTAATGGTTGTGGGGATCCGTTGCGCTGACCACGCGACACCCTCTATCCGCTAAAGTTGTTTACTAAATTCGTCGACAAACGGCGGTCTCTCGGTCGGTATAGTTCGCTTGCTGACTAAAACCACGGAATTTGTTACGAAATTCTGACTTTATTATCAAATGTTACTGGTTCAGCTGTCTCACGTGCAATACGTCTTTCTATAAAACTTATTAAATGATTATTCACTTTAAAATTTGTTTCACATCATATAACTTTTAACTTTTTAAAAGGCTTTATTATATATTTCGTCTAGTATGGTCATCATGCTATGCTGCTATGCTTCTGTTATCGTGGCATCGGTTAATAATTTTTAATATAAGGTCCCCTTTATGCGCATGCGTATTCCAAGTGACGGGTGGTTCTTCCTGTTATGTTGTGCTATATGAGACGGTGGAGCCAGTAATACGTATTTGCTACTAAGTGATGTGCAGCAGGATCCTGCAGTATAATACTATGAATTTATATTTTCTCAGTGGTATATTTTTAATAACGTTTGCTAACAACACTCAGAATTAAATAACTTATTGAGTTTTGTCAAGACGTATTTTTTTCTGATTTAATCATTGGAAAATCAGGGAGTCGCCTTATTTTCGGCCTTGTGCAGTATTTTAAGGAACTGGGAAAGATAGGAAGGTCATAATGAAGTGTATTGAATGGAGTTGCCAGCAGGATTCATTTGACTTAGGGTGGACCCCATTGGCTGTCTTGCTTGAACATGTTAATAGATTTTCGAGGTTTCATAAAAGACGTGAAATGTCGTCAGCAAAACACTTGTTAGACTCATAGCGAGAGTCGCAACGGAGTGGGTGCAACATTGCTGCCTAGTCAGGAGGTCCGCATTCAAATCTCAGCTCGGATATGGACTATTATAAATCAAACTTTTCATAGTTCACCATAGTCCAAGGAACGTTGCGGGATATTATATGAAATAAGAGGAAGAAGGCTTCCTTTCTCATCATTCCATTTTATTATTTATTAATCATCCTGTCAATCGACGCTACTTAAGCTACTGACGGCGTTTTTGGATAAGTAATAAAAGTAAGTAAATAAAATTAAGATTTCTGTCTTCTGTGATGTGACCCCGTGAAAATCACCCGACATTTTGGAAAAAAAAAACATGAAGGCTATATATTACTCTGAAACTTCGGTTGACTTTCACCGGACTCCACGGCGTTACGTTATAAAAGATGGAGATCCTCTTAGTCAAAGCTGGGAGGATCCAGGACCTAACACGGTTACTCTGCTCCACGGAGCTGTCATAGACATACATACACATTCATTAAAAAACAATTGAACAAATTTCTAACGTAAATACAGTCATGCTCACTCACGCAGCATTTTTTCAAATTCACGAGGATTGCTGATTGGTCATTTAGCAACGTCTTCTCAACAACATAACCTTTATAAATTGGTAGGATGATTGTGATTGGTGGATTTCAAACTTTCGTAAGAGCGGTAGTTCCACGTTAAATTATGACCCGTCTAACCTGTAGAGATCCAAATTAACCGGTATTGGGGCCGAAAATTGCATCCAGGATATCTCGGATATGCAAAAGAATTGCTAAGCATTCAGATATGACGTTCAGTCCCCATATGTTACGATGTGATCAGAACAAATGACATCCTAACCTGCAGAATCGTACGTTCAGGATGTGATAGAGAGGTTAAGATTTTTACCCAGCCGGTCACATAGCTGAGTAGGCATACACAGTCTTCGTTCTCTCAGAAGCCGGGACTGTGGGTTCGAATTCCACTCAGGGCACGGATGTGTGGTGTTTGTTTGTATGTCCGTTTTTCTGTGTTTGTGTATAGGTAGAGATCTTGAGGCGAGCTGATGACCCAGCCAAGAAGTCCTACCGAATATCTAAGATTTAGTAAACCCAAGTGAAACGGAGAGTTTCATGGAGGCAGATCAAGGTCCAAATTGGGGCTGTAGCGCCAAAGGAAATAAATACAAATTCAACTTAACGTACATTATTTATCGTCTGTCAATATTGCAACATTCTTCTATTCACCACTCAATTTTAGTTTAACATTATACACCTCGACACTACATGTTTCGGCCCCAAAGGCCCATCTTCAGTTGTCTTGATATGTTAGAAATATTTTTTATTAAACTGTGTTAAAACTGCTACACTGTCTTAGTTTGTATTAAAATCACACGATGTAGTCCTCTTTTTGAGGTAAAACGAGATAAAATCCTTTAAAGTTTCTATTATACCCACGTTATTTTGGTGCATATTATTTCACCTCACACGGGGTGTCGTCCATTTTCATAAATGTATGTCTTTCCAGGGTTTTTTGACTCGGCAGCTTGCCCCTCACGTTCGTAGCCTACTTTTCAGTTATGACTGCCTTGTGCCCCTGGTTTGCGTATTTCCTCCACAGCGTGTGGTGCTGTGCCGAGAAAGACACCCTGGACAGACATACATTTATGAAAATGGACGACACCCCGTGTGAGGTGAAATAATATGCACCAAAATAACGGGGGTATAATAGAAACTTTAAAGGATTTTATCTCGTTTTACCTCAAAAAGAGGACTACATCGTGTGATTTTAATACAAACTAAGACAGTGTAGCAGTTTTAACACAGTTTAATAAAAAATATTTCTAACATATCAAGACAACTGAAGATGGGCCTTTGGGGCCGAAACATGTAGTGTCGAGGTGTATAATGTTAAACTAAAATTGAGTGGTGAATAGAACAATGTTGCAATATTGACAGACGATAAATAATGTACGTTAAATTAAACAATTGCAACGGGATACTGAAATACAGAATCATATAACTTCAAGTTTGAAGGGGCGTAATTAAGACCTTAAGCTGTTTCTGAAACCTTCAACAAAATTCACATTGCTCGCTCCAGCATTCAGTTTTCGCTGTGTCTGTTAAGTTCTAAGCAGAATCGGACTACCCTACAAGCTGTTTTTATTGCCGCCCAGTGGAATCGATAATGTAGTCTTATTCGTTGCGAGGTCCTTGAGACCATCCACACGTGCAAATGTTTTCCGTAGGAAAGCTCCTAGATAATCCTCACAAGGCTTAGCAAAACCTTCGAGAGAAAGTAATTATTGTTTTTGTTGCCAAAATCCTAACTTCGTAGTTCCACGTCTGCGCGGATGAATATTGAAAAGTTCTAAAACCAAATGACCCCCCTACTTCCAGTTCTGTCCATAATCATATTACAGGGAAATGAAGTTTGAATCACAATCCTAGTTGGTTCAGACAGTAAATACCTTGTGCCTGGCATAAGCTGATAATACAAATCTAATTTTGTTGCTGTGTAGGGAATGTGCAAATTAACTGGAAGTTAATTCTCCATTATAGTTTAATTGAGATTCAAATACGGTAAATCGTAGGCTCGAATTCCATTGACGTTAGTCTGAACAAAGTTACTTCCCAAAGAGATAGTTACCATAAATAAAAAATGTTTTAAAGGGAACTAATCCGTTATGGTTTTAGGATTTACTCTTAGCTTTTTACGAAGAGGCTTTCGGAATTGAACTCTTACTTCTGCTATTGTACATGTAGTCACGTATAGAATGTTGCCGTGACTAATAATAATGGGTTCTAGATCTGATGCCTGGATTTATTGAACGAATCAATCACAATTACAGTCACATATAACAGCTAACTGACCGACGGAGCCACCGCCGCTTGTCGGCGAAGTTTAGTGCCAACTTCTGCGGATAGAGGGTGTCGCGTGGTCAGCGCAACGAATCCTCACGGCCGTTAATTTCGATTTTCTAGACCGGAGCCTCTATTTCCTTGATATAGCTCCTCAATTATCATCACGAGGCTGAATGGATCCCGTTCTAGACCCACTACTACTCCGAAAAAAATCTGGCGGCGCCGGAAATCGAACCCGGTACCTCTGGATCTGTAGCCAGGAACGCTGACCACTAGCCCACAGAGGCGGTCGGTATGGTTCGCTTGCTGACTGAAATCACGGATTTACTATTTTTTTTTTTTGGTACAACAGCTCACAATCAGTGGTTGACAGCGACTCGCTCCATTCCTTGCTGAAACACGAGCGTCTGCTCTTCCACTGTGATGAATGACGAACGAAGAATTCCTGCTCACAACCTGGACTGCCTTGAAGAAAGGTTTTCTCACGAATGAATCTTGAAGAGCCTCCACGGCTCCTTATACATGCTAGTTCGTATCTGTGGAAATTCCTTATCACGAAAACGTGCTTATTGAAAAGTTCGCTACAAAGCAACCAATGTTCTATTGTTGCCTGCCTTACTACGGGAATGTGGTTAGTGTACTGTTGCCCAGCACATGGTCATATCCCGTCAATATATATGTATATACTTAAATCTGAGCCTTTCAATTGCAGTAGTGATGTGTGAAACTGAGTGAGCTTTTTGCACAGAATTTAGTAGAAGACGGTGACTGTAAATGTAAGAAAATGAATGCTGCAGGGAATAAGGATTGAATTTAATTACAAGCTTAAAATACATTTGGTCCAGAAGTACTTAATAAATTCTTCTCGAGGAGCTATATAATCATGGCTAATCTGGTCAGGCATTACCCGTCTTTTCTTACTATATTAATAAGAGCCCGCCAGTGAACTTCATGCAGAAGCAGATCAATGCAGTTCACACCCCACACCCTGTTCATTTAAGACCTTAAAACATACTCCGAGACCTCCTAAGCGGGCTGTTCTGTTTATTTCTCACCTACCTCTTGTACTCGTATTTCGGAGCTATTTTTTTTATTGTACTGCGGCCACTTCTGGCCTATTGTACCAGCCCCAGATGCTAGGTGAGGGTGATTGTGGAGCAATTGGTGGAATGAAGATTAGCAGGGGAAACCGAAGTACTAGGAGAAAACCTGCCCCAGCGCCACTTTGTCCACTACAAATCCCACTTGACTAGACCCGGGATCGAACCCGGGCCTCCGCGGTGGAAAGCCAGCGACTAACCGCTTGAACTATGGCGCGGCCATACTTTGGAGGTACATAGCACGAGTAAGTATTAGTGGAAATATGTAAAATTTGCAACATAATGATGGTGTAATTCTAAGTCATAACTTATTTGGAAATATTTGGAAATGTTATTATCTGGAAGAAAAAATATCGAAGTGTACTATCTTCTGTGATATAACGTTGTGTAGTCCGTTGAAAGTCAACAGACGTTTCGGAGGAACATGTCTTCATCTTCACAGTCGAAGCTGAACAAGACCGATTGAAATGTCTTAGGATGGGTTCGATGGCGGTAATGTACATTGAGGTTCCTTAAAAGCAGGTTTCTTCGAATTACAGGACAACTTAACTTTTGATACAAGACCTGGAAAATATACTAATTTGATTATATTTGCTATGTCTGGAGCCGGAGTAGTGTAGTCAGTATAACGACTGGCTACGGGCTGGGTCGGAGTTCGAGTCCCGGTAGGTTCAAAAATATTATCTTCTCCAAATCGACAAGACCGGCTCTGTGTTCCACCAAACTTCCTATCCAATGGGTGCTGGGGGCTTTTTCTCGGGATTAAAGCGACCGGGTCGTGAAGCTGACCACTTACCTTCAGCTAGTGCCGAAAGAAAACGTGGGTCTATACATCCACTCCCCCATACACCTTCATGGCATAATGCTAAATTAGTTAACTACAGGGACGTCTTTACCTTTATTTGCTGTGTCAGCCAAACTGATATGTGACTCTGAAATGAACGAGGAATGTAATTTTGATTAGGTAGTCTTGTGGAAAGTATTGTTTCCGCAGGACATTGACGGCTTTGTGATTTGAACCCCTGTTCTTCAGTTGAAGATGATGCTATATTAAATAATGGTTCGTAGAGTTATTATGGAAGAAAACGGGGTTCGTTTCGCACTAGCGGTAAGAGAGATGGAAAGGTTTTAGTTTCGGATGTGACGGGAAAACTTTGTCATCAACAACACTTACCTGTCTCCCTTCGGAAGAATTCCAGTTCTTCCCCTTTGTTATTACATCTTCCTTCCTCTTCAGTGTTTATGGGGATTGCCATTGTGGCCAATCTTTTCAATCCAAGACTGACATTTGTGGGTGGATTCAAATTTCCATTCTGGAAAGACTTTAAGTCATCGGAAATCTGGTTTTCTTTATTAGAACTTTTCTTCAGCCCACTCACTCTCAAGTTATGGTTGGAGATGAAAGGATACAAAAATCAGAGAAGTTTATTTTATTCGTATTATTGTTTAAGGGCGACAGAGATGAGTCAGTAAAGTGACAGGGTCCATTGAACTTGGGTTTGAATCGCGGTATATCTGAGAAGTTCCCTCTTCGCTACCAGTTCCGGATCGCAACAGAGTGAATTGCGCTGATGCGCTGACGCGCTTCTGCATTGGCTGTAGAACGTTCAGTGGCAGGATGAATCGTTCTGAGTATGCAGCTTCCAATAGGGCGCTCAATAGCTCAGGCGATCAGTCGCCGGCTACCCACCGCGGCGGCCCGGGTTCGAGCCCGGGTCTGGGCATGTGGAATTTATGGTGAACAAAGTGGCGCTGGGGCAGGTTTTCTCCTATTACTTAGGCTTCTCTGCCAATCTTCATTCAACAAATTGCTCCACAATCACCATCATCTATCATCTGGGGCTGGTACAATAGGTCGGTTGTGGCCGCAGTACCAAGTGGACTCAGTCTCACCCCAGTAATAAAAGTAAAAAAAGTAAAGTAAAGCTATCTCTGTAACAGGCCATGAAGGCCCATAAGGTTGTGAGACGTTGAGGGTCCCACATTATCTAGACAATCGGCCCAAAGATGGCGGTAAGGTTGTCAGCCTTACGCGCCGGCCGCCCTTTGCCCCCAGGAAGATTCCTGGCACTCATTTCTGTTAGAGGCTGAGTCAACTCCAGGGCCATAGTGCGGCTGGAAGGAATTGAAAAAATCCAATGCCATCATCGGAACTTGAACCCGCGACCTTCCAGCTTGTAGCATAGCCCCTTAACCAACTACGGTTTATTACTACTGTTTCACCCCAGTAATAATTCAATTCAATTCGTGTTTATTTACGTGCAAACTTAACAGCACAGAGGCCAATAATAACAAAGCTTATCATTCATTGCAATCTAGTTGCGAGGATAAAATTTTTGGAGATATCCCCCCTTTTCCGCATACACATTTACAAGCTTCGTCCAAAGAAAACTCAGTTTTATGAAGAATCTGAAACCATGTCAGTAAGTAATAAATAAGTTCTCAGATTTATTTTTGTACAGAGCATTAATTTATAATTATTGTTTAATGGCAATTTTTGCGTTATAAAATAATTGTTGGTTACAGTTATATTATGACCATCGTAGGTTCTGGCGCCTACGGCTCAGTTGTCTATAGTGCTTTCGAACCGAAAATAATATCAAACTTAACATACAGAGAAATGGAAAGAAGATATTGAATCACACAAGGATCCAAGATTTCATATTGTTTATTACTATATCAGACAATAGTTTTCCTATCCAGAATGGTCTAAAACAAGGAGATGCTTTATTGCCGCTGCTTTTCAACTTTGCTGTAGAATATGCCATTAGGAAGGTCCAAGAAAATTAGGTGCGACTGAAATTAAATGGAGCACTTCAGCTGTTGATCTATGCTGATGATGTGAATCTACTGGATGATAATATAGATACCATAAAGAAAAGCGCAGAAACTTTAATTGACGCTAGTGAGGGGGTTGGTCTAGAAGTAAACACAAAGAGAACTATGTATATGTTGCTGTCTCGTCACCAAAATGCAGGACAAAATCATGACATGAAGATAGGTAACACATGTTTTGAAAATATGGCACAGTTTGGGAACGACTATAACAAATCAAAACGTAATTCAGGAGGAAATTAAGAGGAGATTGAACTCGGGTAATGCTTGTTACCATTCAGTCCAGAAACTTTTGTCTTCTTGTCTGCTGTCTAAATCGTAAACTATAATTTTGCCTGTGGTTCTGTGTGGGTGTGAAACTTGGCTTCTGACATTAAGGGAGGAACATAGACTGAGGGTGTTTGGGAACAGGGTGTTGAGGAGAATATTTGGACCGAAGAGAGTAGAAGTGACAGGAGGTTGGAGAAAACTGCATAATGAGGAGCTTCATAACTTGTACTCTTCTCCAAGTATAATTAGAATGATTAAATGAGAGAGGATGAAATGGTCAGGGCATGTAGCACGAATGGGGGAGACGAGGAATGCATATAGGATATTTGTGGGAAAGCCAGAAGGAAACATACCACTGGGAAGACCCAGACGTAGGTGGGTGGGCAATATTAATATGGATCTTAGAGCGATAAGATGGAATGATATGGATTGGATTGATGTGGCTCAGGATAGGGACTAGTGAAGGGCTCTTGTGAAAACGGTAATGAGCCTTCGGGTTCCATAAAATGCTGGGAAGTTCTTGAGTAGCTGCACAAATGGCAGCTTCTCAAGAAGGGCTCAGCTCCATGAATGAGTGAGCACTGTATCACTTACACCTTAAATTGACACAGATTAATTAAAGACTTGAAAATTGGTAGGTTCAAATGTTTAAAGCACGAGCGTTGTTTCTAATTCTCAGTAAATTATTGCAGAATTCTAATAATCTGCTTTTCGTTCATGCTACTTCGACGCCATTTCGAATATCTTTCAGTTATACAAATTTTATTTCGTTTGTAACGCGTGTAAACCTTTCTGCAAGACTGCACACTTAACTATTTAGAACAGCACTGAGTTACTGAAAAATATTATTTTTTAAGGGTTTATTCATAGTTAACATTCATCAGTTTTTTATTCGGAATATAAGATGCGCCTGTTAAGAGATTCCTGTTTTGTGTTTCAGTTGATGTGGTACCAGGACACCATCCTCTTGGACCCAACAGATAGACGTAAGATGGAATCTCGTGGAAACAAACACACATTGAACATTCGTAACGTCCAAGGTTCAGACTTCGGGAACTACAGCTGCGTGGCAGACAACTCACTTGGACGTGCCAAGAAGTACATGGAGCTGTCAGGTAAGACGATACAGCCACTATTTCTGTAATCTCTCAGCCTCCTTTGTGTTCAGAAGAGTGAAGGATACATGTTTCACGTTCATTGTAAAGCCTTTGTTTCCTAATAATTTAATGCCAAATGTTTCCCCGTTCTTCAGACTTTTCTTTTCTGTAGATAAACTGTGTGTTTGTGCCCCCGTTCTGGCCGATCTGGTCTGCAGCGTATCCCTCCGGAATCGTTCCTCTGTCAGTTGGGAGGATGGCGTTTTGCCTTTCTGCTTACACAGCAAGAATAAAAGCTATTGTCAGAACTTCTATGCGGAGATGGTGTTGACAACCGCTACGCTAAACCACCAAGCAGCCTTTTTCTGACCTGTTTATTCTCCAGGCCCCTTGACACATGCCTTTTGACTCGTACAAGACTAACATACCGTGAAGAGTACTCTTGTCAAGAAGCTCGCCCAGCGAGCAATCTCGGACACAGCTCTGGGTTTGCGCGAGTCTGAGTCTAGTGAGGTGCAGCAGTAGTCAACTAGCATGTGTGAACACAATGTCGAGTCTACTCGTGCTAGTTAAATTCTTATTAGCGAAATGATGGTGCACGTGGAGGGCTGAACAGAATTTATTGTCCGCCAAAATCTTGCATTGGTAGAACATTAGTCCAACGTTTAGTACAGTTTGTATGCATAACGGACACTTAGTAAAATTGCACGCAATGAAACAGCGAAAACTATTTGTAAAAGTAAAGTAAAGAAATCCCTGTAACAGGCCGTGGAAGCCCACAGGGTAGTGAGACGCCGAGGCTTCCACATTTTCTAGGAAATTGGCTCATAGATGGCGGTGAATTTGTCAGCATTACGCTCCGCCCTCCTTTTACCCACAGGAAGATTGCTGGTACTCATTTCTATTACAGGCTAAGTAGACCGTAGAGCCGTATTGCGGCTGAAAGGATTAGGTAAATTGAAAAATCCTATGACCTGATCGAGAATCGAACGCGCGACCTTCGCAGAATGATTGAGACTTTTAATTCCGGGGGCCATAATTTAAGAGGAAAATATTTTACACTGGTTTTGTATGCTCACAAATGTTAGTAAGAATTTAAACATTTCATTTCTATGATATTAGGTTAATATTGAATTATTTGTCAGTTTAGTAAGGAGTGGGTTGCTGATAACGCTGCAACACCGCCTTCATTAGTAGATATTTCTAAGAGCGGATTTCGCGCAACTCGTCTCATAAGAGTTGTCTTCTACAGGAGTGTGTACGTAAATTATAGTAATGTAGGAATTGAAAGTATGGGCAAATTAAATACTGTAGCTGGCGAAATGATCCAAGCTTAGTCACTTCATGGTCAATTTAAACTTCTTTTTACCTACGGATCCCTCTAAATCGTTGCGTTCCATTTTACAGTAGGCCGTACGTTTAATTAGTTCAACATATCTTTCGAATTAAATTACGCTATAATTAAGTACCGGCCATGCAGTGAAATATTTCGATCTTGTCATCATCATCATCACAGGCACGACAGCCCTTTGTGAGCCCTGGCCTTCCTCAGGCTTGCTCGCCATTCTTCTCTATTCGATGCTACATTCCTCCAGTTCTTTATACCCAAAATTCTTATGTCCTGCCACACACATTCTTCCCATCCTAACCTTGGTCTTCCCACTCTCCTATTTCCTTCATTTCGATCCTGTATTTCCAGACAATTCAGCATCCAAACACTCCAGAGAATTTACTGTTGCTTCCAGGTGCGTGAAGTCAGAAAAGATTGGTGGAAAACGTTTCTCCCCTGCGGTAATAATACGCGACAGGGTTTAAAATGGGGTTCTATTGGATATCAGAGCACTCAATGATTTAAATATATTGCATGATTATTCAGAAGAGGAAAGCTGTTTAGAGCAAGGCTACGCAAGTCAAATTGACATAACTTGAGCGTATTGTGCCCGCTTCTGTGGTCTAGTGGTCAGAGTTCCTGGCTACATATCCAGAGGTGCAGGGTTCGATTCCCGGCGCTGCCAGATTTTATGAGAAGTGGTGAGTCTGAACGGGGTTCACTCAGCCTCGTGAGGATAATTTAGGAGCTGTTTCAATGAAATAGTTACTCTGGTCTAGAAAACAGAGATTAATGGCCTTGGGGATCCGTTGCGCTGACCACACGATACCCTCTATCCGCCAAAGTTGGCACTAACTTCGCCGACAAGCGGTGGTCTCTCAGTCAGTATGCTTCGCTTGCGGACTACAAGCCACAGAGTTTTGAGCTTATTGTAATATGCTATAATTATACAGGGCATTGCGACAAACTGCTCCTGCGAAGTTTGCAGTTTTACATTTAAAATTGTAAGTTTATCACGCAGGTCAGTAAGAAATGTTTAGAGTGGGCATCTGTTGCGTATCATCTGAAGTTAACGTTGCTCTCGTCCGAAGAAATTGTTTCTTTTCATAGAGACACTCGACAATTTCGACCCAATAGGTCAACAATAGACAATTTATTCACTCTGAGACAAATAACGGAGAAATGCTGGGAATTTAATATAGATATTTACCAATGCTTCATAGATTTTAAACAAGCATATGATACAATAATAAGGAAGAAATTAAGGATGATTATGTCCACTTTTGGTATTCCAACAAAACTAAGAAGAATAAGGAGCGTATCCCAAAGAAAATATTATACAGTACAACAGGCGGCAGGAGACGTGCTGGGAAACCAAGAACTAGATGGATTGATGCGGTGGAAGAAGATGCAAAGAAGTTAATGGGCGTAAGGAACTGGAAGAGAGCAGCGCAGGATAGAGAGGAATGGAGGGGCTTGATAAGGGAGGCCAAGGCCCGACATCGGGCTGTTGCACGATAGAAGAAGAAGAAGAAGAAGAAGAATTTCCAGCAATAATTTATGAAACGTTTCAGGAAACATTCCAAGATGGTTTCATTATCACTGTGCTTCAGCTCAATCAGCAGCATTCCTGATGCTTCTGAGCATTCCTTTTCGTACTCTAGTTCTTAATCCACAACTTTTCTTTCAATCTTCCATTAAAAAGAAAATCAACAAGTTCATCTTGTGGCACCACAGATCGAAAATATACAGTGCTTAAGTAATTTTTTTTGTTTCCATGCCTAAACTAGTTAACAAACATGTTCTCACTCGTACATTTAACTTGCTACGTATGTAGTAGAACTTCTTGGATGTTACGGGGGGGGGGGGTTTCGAACACCATTCCAACCAGTCTGAGGTCTCATGCTCCTTAGACTGCCACTGACTGTAGCGGATGTGGTTGCATGTGGTGGCCGTTGTGATCTTCCAACAGTTTCATAGTTCTTTCTGTGTTACGTTATGAAATACGAGCTAAAATTAAGAGTAAATTAAGTTATATATTCTTAAACTGTAGTAGTGCCTTGGGAGACATTAGCGCAGTGCTTTTCGATAAATCTTGTATGTTTACATGCAGGCCTCTGGAGTGTAATTAGCTCTCTCTTAAACGATGTATACGTGTATACATGCACAAATAGAAAGTGGGAAAAGTAATTAGTACGCTCTTTTTTACATTTCTTCCAACCTGAAGGGTTGGTAAAAGTTTCTGTTTTAAAATCCCACGCGATAACACAGTAAACCAAGGCAACTGGAGCTCTATTATCAGTTGCAGAGTTGCAGTGTTTATCTCTGTCATCTCGTACAGTACCGGTAACCTATTATACCCCTGGACAGATATTCTTTCTTTCGGGTTGAACTCTGGGTAAAATGAATCGCATTCATCTAAGACCTGATTAAATATAATGTGGCATGATCACCAGTTGCTAGGCAACGACTAAGAAATAAGCTGCTGCACAACAGCCATTACAAGGCCGCAACAGATTTATAACAACCAACAATGGAGTGATTTGAAAGATGTGTACTCAAAGCGGTCCGCGATATTGCTACTTGGTGCAACAGTAGAAGAACTGTTGGGAGAAGTGTTTTCTGTGCTGTCCGTTTCGATATTATGTAACGAGGAGCAGATGCCATTACTGGAGAGTCTTGAGACGGCAGTGAGAAGAGTAGAAAGTTGAAGCTAGTGGGAGCTAGTCAGTTAGAGCTTCTTTATATGTGAGACAGTCACTGTCTTGCAATGACGTGAACACGGAAGCTGAGAAAGCTATGACGTTGGAAACCGTTACCAAGAGACAACCGATGAAGATGCAGAAGACTGAGAAGATTTAGTGCACGCTGTAGTGAACTTCAGATTGTGTGAATCAGCGTTAGAACTATAGTTATTTGTAATTACGTTCTGTAAGTGTTCAATTAATCCAGTAACCAAACCAAACCCCGTCTATAGTCACAATCACGTGACAATACTTTACTACAGAGTCTATATACTTCTTCATCCGTATCTTCTTATCAAGTGTCGTAATTTACTTCGGTCTAGTTTTTATGACAGCACCAAGACGTCGTCATGGGGGCTCCAGCTCCTATCAATTGTGGCCTCGTTGGTCGTTCGGTCGCCTTCTTTGTAGCGTCCAGGTTCAGAGCCTGGCTGAGACCTTGCCGCCTCCCGTTAGGTGTCGATGTTTCGCCTCTCCGTCCTTTATCTCGTGTGTTCCGTCTAGATGTAATACTCGGGTAGCCCGACAGGGGTCCGGCGGTAAACTCTTGCAGAGACTCGCACTTCATTGGTTCCTGTCTCTCAATTCAGAAAGACGCTTCGCCGCGATTGGTGGTCCATGTAAGGAGTATCGAGCGCCTCAACAGTGTTTTCGTAGAGAAGAAATTTGTCCCTGGAGGCCAACCTTTAGACACACAATACACCCTTTTACTTGTAGCAGAGAAAGCATTGGCTATTAATAGTTTTTGTGAATACTAATGTTATGCATGGTAGGAGAAGGTCATAATTTAGCTGACAAAGATTTAGGGGATTATGCAAAACGGCGCATTGCTAAGAAGTTGTATTCATGCTAAACATTTCAGAATATTCATGGATATAGCATCGTTTTTCGGTGCTTTCCTCAGACAGTATCCCACGATAAGACACTGTTCCCTGTATTTAGTGTATCGATTGCTGCCTGCTCTCAAGGCACGCCATTCAGTGCAGGGCAACATAAGCGAAGAACACGAGATGACTGTGAGATCTGAGATCCTGAGGCCGTGGTAATGAAGAAGGCGGTCTTCAAGGATGTGGTGCTCTATTCCTCATCTCGTCTCATCTCTGCTTCATGTCCCATTCAGTATTTTAGACCATATCAAAGAATTATGTTCTCCATTGATAATTCGAAACGTAATGTTGTTAACAAGATACGCTGGACGACCATTCTCTTTCGGCTCTCCACGACTACGTATTCAGCACATTCGAACCTGCTCCATATATGCTGACAATCTCCGATTTCCTCGTTTTGCTGACGGACTGTGCCATGGTGGCAAAGGATGCATTATGGATGCAGTGTTTCCTAGAAATATAATGTACAAAAGATCTGCTAAAGATTAAAAAGGTGAATTATAGTATTTGTTGCAGCAGAAATGCAAGTATATTGAATGATACTCAGTATTTTCTTATTATATTTCAACACAAAATTTCGTAATTTTGAAAAAAAATATTTCCAAAGTTTCGATATAAGTATTTTCTTCGGGTTTTCATCCAGTGTTTAACAAGGACGTTTCAGGTATAACTCTCGAAAACTACATTCCTACCGCAGGTTTCCAGTCTTACAAATCTTGTTTTCTTAATGCTTATAACTCAACAATGAAACATGATTTAACTCATGGTTTATCGAGCTGCACTCTTGTGCACTTTCTGAGATTGTCGACAACAAATCGGCAATAACATTTATTCCTTTTCGTTTAAAGAAATTGTAGATTACTATCATTATGACTATTATTATTAGAAATAAATAACATTTTTATTTATGGGGAAATTTAATATAAGTTATATGTTTTGAAAAACTCAAAACTTCGCACCGCCGTCACTTTTGTTACTGTTTTGTTACTGAAAACAAAACTTACTTCTAACAAAATGTACACATACGAGTATATTTATTACCTGAAGGTGTTGTCTTCTCGGATGTGATACGATGTAATTTTACAGACATTTGCCAAGTTTTTGGACGAATGTAGTGCCTTTTTCATGAGTGCTGAAGATTAAGCCACTAGAGAACGGGGCAGTATAAGCACAGGAAAGGACTTAAAGGAACATGCCTGCGAGAGAGAGACAATGGGAGATGGTGACCCTTAGAAGGGCCAGCGATATTTATGACGGATAAAGGGATAAGACGAAACAACATTTCTGATAACGAAAGAAGAGAGACGAATTTAAGAGGAGGAAATGGGACGCGGAGAAGATTCCATACTGCACGTTTTCAGGAGAAATGTCGATGCATCACGTGACCTTCTCGGTGTAATTCTACCGTGAAGCTGACCACAGGTGCGCATTGCACCGCCCCCGAAACTGGGGGAATCAGGATTACGAAGCAGGGGTATAGAATGAAAAGGAGGAAGGGATGACATTGAGTACACAGAGTACTGCAAAAGAACAGTTGCGTCAAACGTATATGCACCTGTGCATCTCCAGCTGAAGGGAAGATAAGGAAAAGAGGAAGAATAGGGGACACGCGGTAGCGTAGTTGGTTGAGGCACAAGCCGGAAGGTCGCGGGTTCCACTCCCGGTGACGTGGGACTAAGCCTCTGACAGAAATGAGTACTAGGAATCTTCCTGGGGGCAAAGGGCGGCCGGCGCAAAAGCTGACAACCTTACCGCCATCTGTGAGCCGATATTCTAGAGAAAATGTGGGAGCCTCGAAGTCTCACAACCATAAGGGCCTTCACGGCCTGTTACAGTTATGGCTTTAAGGCTCAATTTAGAGAGACTCGTCCAAGTCAAGGCCTTGGATTCCTTGTTTCCTTCAGGGAGTATACTATTGGCTTCCTTGACTTGGCCAGGCAGAGGCCTACCTCTATGTTCTTGTTGCGGGGACGGAGCCTGATCCCCGTAGCTTCCCTGATGATACAGTCGTTGTATTAGCTTGTGTTCTGGGCGCAGTGTCTCAGGCTGACTTACCCGTAGAATTGAAACGGACATGTCGAAGGTGCTTCTCATCGGAATGACCTGTCTTCCCTTACCACACTGTAGTGGAGCCAGTGCACGCTCGGTGTTTCAAACCCAGACCACCCTTCGTAGCCCGACAAATGCTGGACTAGTAGACTTCATGTTGTTCATTGTCAAATATTTGTGGTATGTGTACGTAACAAAAATATCACATTCCTAACTGCGATGATTCCATACTTGTCACCATACGGCCAGAGCTCAGTAGGGTTATACATTCCATTCATGCCCTGTTTTGTTGCTTTATATCCTACAGAATGATTACATCAAACAATTAGCGTGTTTTTCAAAGCTCCGTTACCACACATCATCAATGTTTTTTGTTAAGGGACTCTTAGTGAGAAAACACGATGAAAATTATTGCAGTCAGTCGCTATTATTATGGCCTACAGCATATTTTAAGCATAGAATTGTGAACAGAATATACAAAATTAACTTATTTACAAAACCGCTTTAAAACCAGGAAAATGTTTAGAAAAGCAACTAAGTAAGTGTCCGAAGAGTTGGACTAAACAGGAACTGTGGATGTCATATGAAACCCCTGATATGATGGAAAATACTAAAAGAAGTTTGGAGTCGTTAGGACTTGTGAACAAAATTTATAAAACAAGATTGCTAAGGAAGTTTGTGGAATGGGAATGACCAGAATGAGATTGCTAAGTGTACAGAGAATAATTTACGAGAGCTGAAAGTGAAGAAATGAAGATAAAACTGTAATAATTGAGAAGAACTGGGATCTATCTTAAAGAAGTCCAGAGTTCTTGGAGGATCGTAGGGACATGGAGAAAGTAAATATTGCTCCCACCGAACATTTTCACGCGTCTCACATGTTACTGTTGCCGATTACAGTAAATTAAGATGCACGAGGATTGGGTGGCTCCTGGTGACACGATTTCCTCGCTAAATTTCTTGAAAATCGGGGAGGGCAGACACACAGACAATATGATCATATCATTAGCCCATTTTCTTTCCATAGGAAAAGAAAAATTAATTTACTCAAGGTCTGACACCTCCGTTAGAGGATACCAATGCCAAGGATTACATTTATCGTACTGAGTATACCGAAATTTAAATTTATATGCCCATATAGACTAATTAATCGTTTAAAACCATGTCCCTACTGAGATACTTGGTGTAGCGGAATTATTTCTGTAATGTTCCGAATAGGCACTCATTTTATACTCGTATCTGGATCGAATTACCCAGTGAAGAAGGCCTTGCATTAGCTCAGGCGGCTAGTATCCGGCTTCCCGCTGCGGCGGCTCTATGTCCAACCCGGGTCAACTAATTCTCATTCCACTGACTATACATTCATCGTCTACCACTCCAAGACTGGTAAAATAGGCAAAATAATTGTCCGACATACCAAGTGGACTCAGTCTCACCCCACCCAGAAAAAAGGAACTACACAGTGAATAGTCTCGTGATATTCTTTAAACTCCTTTAAGTGAACACTGTGATACTACTTTAAAATAAATTAGAATTGTTTTTTACAAGTAATTTTCTGCTCAACAATCATTCTGATTATCTTCACTTCTAATTCGACCCATATTCCCCTAAAATCTTACTACATCGTTAAGATACTTAGGGATCAGTCGCTCAGCTAATATACACGCTAACCACCCTGCCATGTGTCTGGTCTCTCTGTTGCGTGCATGGGCGGCCACGTTACTGTACCAGCCGGTGTTGTGGCTGTTGCCTGCGGGCTGAAATATTAACGAGCAGCTAACACGCTGTGTACTGCAGCGTGTCTGTGTGTCCCATGGGTGTTGATAAAAGTCCATGTATATGAACTGCAATACCCGAAAGATAAACTGGATATCAAATGTGGAAATGGCAGAGATAACTCTTGAAGTCTGTAACAAGGAAGGGAAAATTTCATCTCCCATTTGTATGTCTCGTTGTTACCTACGTGTATGTCCCAACATGTATGTGTACTGCAGTTCTTGAGTTTTGGCGTGTTCCATTCCAATGAATGTGCCTTTAGACTAGTTTCGTGGGTTACACAATGTATCCAAGTGGTTAGATTTTTTCTAGGAATGGTGTAACTCTATAACATCACGATTTATCATTGAAGTCTGCAGAATTTATAGTGTGTTCTCTATCATTCAAACCCCAGATTATTCTACCTGTTGTATTTAATTTTCATCTTTCGTACTGCATAGAGAGCCGGCGATAGTGGTCGCGGCGTCTAAGGCATGAACTGTTTTCGCTCGCTCGGACGCTTGGATCGTGGGTGTGAATCCCAATCAAAACATGGATGTTTGGTGTGTGTATGCGTTTATTCTCTCTCTGTTGCCCTGTGTTTAGGTGGAGGCCTTGCGACGAGCTGCTCACTCGTCCAAGGAGTCCTACCGTCTGTGAAAAACGATTCGGAATTGAATAAGAGACTAGGGCCCTGAATGATTTAAAAGAGAAATTGTAAAAGAAATATTACATAGAGGACTATAAGTATATTTAGATAAGACTCAAGTAATTTATTTACTTTATTTATCCACTGATTTATTTCGAGACAGATGAGGTAGGCCAGCCATGTAGCACAAATGGCAGAGATGAGAAATATATTGACGTTTTTACTAAAAAATCTTGAAGGAAAACACCACTTGAAATATCTGACCTTGGATATGAGGATAATACTAAAATAGATCATAAGGGGGGTGTACAGCGGAATCAGTGGACTCAGGATGTGGTTTAGGGGGTGGGCTGATGTAATGTGTTTTGATTCAGGACGACCGAGTCCCGCCGAATTCCGGAGCGCGCCTTTCAGTCGTGCATGGGACAGCTACAACCTGACCTGGGTAGTCGAGAGCTACCCGCCGCTGGAAGAAGTTCGCCTGCTCTACAGGAAGCTGATGGTATGCAATGCATCAATACTAAAGGGAAGCCCCACTTGAAACTCCAACAGGAAGTCTCTTGTAATAACTTGCTTCTATCTCCTGCTCTTTTTTCTCTCATATTCCTTTCCTGTGCCGTATATTTGTCCTATGTATGAAATTATGTACGTATCGATGCCACATGACGAGCAGAGCCATCTGGCAGACACTGAGAGTATCCATGTATCCAGCGAGTGCGTAACACACAAACATAATCATTCATACACCACCGAATATGATATATGTAAATATGTATTTATATACAAATATATATGTGCCTATATCTCTGCATGTATTTTTTTATGCTAGTGGGTTGCGACTAAGTCCCTTGTACAGCGGCCACTCCTGGCCTATTGTACCAGCCCCAGATGATAGGTGAGGGTGATTGTGGAGCAGTTGGTGGAATGAAGATTGGCAGGGGAAACCGAAGTACTCTGAGAAAACCTGCCCCAGCGCCACTTTGTCCACCACAAATCCCACTTGACCAGACCCGCGATCGAACCCGGGCGGCAGCGGTGGGAAGCCAGCGACTAACCGCTTGAGCTATGGCGCGGCCATCTCTTCATGTAGCATACACATCTAGGATAACTCTGTTTGCCACCTGATTTCTTGCTTGGTTTATTCTTTGACCCTGAATATGTAGGCTATATGTCCCTTCGAAACTTCGGTTGACTTTCTACAGACTACACTACACCCCAAAAATAGCACACTTCATGTAGCATATATTTACCCAGTGCCCCACTAGATACTCAGTGTGGGACAGTTACACCTACAAGTTTAAAACTGATATAGTTGGGAATCTTACAGTTCACTAATGCTGTATAATTAGGCTGCGTTTCTATAGAAGAGAAGTTACCTAAACAAAATTAGCATATTTTAAAATTCCTGTTACAATGTGCATATCAGTGTCGTGCCTTTATCAGAGTGATGTTAGTGTCGCGTCTCTTCCTGAATTCAACAAAACCATCATTTTGAAACTACTTGTGATAAGGAATTTAAAGACAGAACGACGGATTTGTCTCTTAGTCTCATGGTGTTTGTGAAATGTTCTAGGAAAATCCGTTAAATTATCACGAGAGTCACTGACATGGTGACGTCGTTGGGATATTTGAACCATCAGATGTGAAATTATTGTCGTAATTAATCAGTTTGCCATTAAATGAGCAAAAAAAGAAAGTCAATTTTCAGGTTTACATTGTCTTTGATTAGAAACAAAATTTCTAGCTTGTGTACTGAAACTGGTACTCTACTTTCACAATGAATTGAAACTAATCAGTCAGAATCAATAGAAGATTATTCGACGTGACGCTGGTCGCGACATTCCATTGTAGTTGGGACACTTTCACCGTTCAGCTCGCAATCAGTCTATATCGATGTACGATTGAGGATTCTCACAACGGTGGTTAAGAATAATTCTTTCTTCTGCGACACAAACCCACGTAGTCCATTGAAAGTCAACGGACATTTCGGAGGAACATGTCGCCTCCATATTCAGGGTCGAAGATTAAGCCAAGCAAGAAATCAGCATGACGTAGGTAGCAAGTAGGGCTCTATCCATTATATCATTTTCCAGAGAACATGTCGATAATGACGGACCGTGTCTCCGTGTTTTTCAGATCTGATGGACAGATACAGACACAGTTTATTTCCTCCGTGCTTTGAAGCTGAGGGACTTCCCTAAAATAAACCTCTCTCAGAGGAAAGTTGAAGCGATAACGCAAAAGAAAACTTTTGTATTGGAACATATACAAATATACCAGTAACTAAGCGGCCTCCGTAGTCTCGAGGTAACGTTCCCATCTCATGACTCGTGGTACGCGGGTTCAAATACCCGGCGGAGGTCCTCGAATTTTTAAGGGCGGAAAAATTCAGGGAACAAGTCCTCCGGGAGGGACTTTAAGCTGTGTGTCCCGTGTTATAACTTTACGGCACGTAAAAGAACCTCATATCCCCAAGGGGGATCACTGAGCCAAATTCCAGGACGCTTCCCGCCCAACAATAGTCTCTAAGGCCTCTGATAGATGGGGGAAGCATTATAGACACCGCTAAGCAAGTGGCCGAACTCGCTTGCTCGGCGGGACTGATGGTACGCACCATTTATCGGTAGGGTATAGAGACTGATACAATATCATAGAGGGAAGCACAATAGATCAAACTGGTCGCGGTGAATGGAGAAACCCACCCTCTCTAAATAACTAACTACCAGTAACTAATTAACTTAGACCGCCTCTGTGGTCTAATGGTCAGAGTTCCTGGCTACAGATCCAGAGGTCCCGGGTTCAATTCCCGGCGCTAGCAGATTTTCTGAGAAGTGGTGGGTCTGGAATGGCGTACTCAGCCTCGTGAGGATAATTAAGGAGCTACTCGTATTTAAAGAAAATAGTAGCTCCGGTCTAGAAAACCGACATTAACGGCCGTGGGGATCCGTTGCGCTGACCACGTGACACCTTTTATCCGCAAAAGTTGGCACTAACTTCGCCGACAAATGGCGGTCGCTCGGTCGGTATAGTTCGCTTGCGGACTAGAGGCCACGGAGTTTTAACTAAGTACCGCATACTGCCGAGTGGTTCAAATGTCTCCATACACAAGGAAAATAATTGTTTTCTCACAAAATGTGCCTTTATTAACAAAATATACTCTATACGGTTGCCACTACAGACACTTACAGATACGACTCTATCATTCATGGTGATCTTGCGTTAGTAGACCTCATGTTCCTGATGTTATGTGTGAAAATGCATTTCGAATGCGTTCCTTTAGGTGATTCATGTTTCGTATTTTTCCTGGAACACTATGGCCTTCAAGTTTCCCACAAGTAAAAAATGAGTGGACTATGATCTATGGACTTCGGAGGCCAACCCAGGAGCCCGAAAACTGTAGACCCAATCATCGCCGCCCTCAAATAGCATATTGATGTGGTGCCCCCTTTTTGCTGAAATTACACAGGAAATTCTCCATCCTTGTTTAGCAGAGACGGCATGATCGTGTGTTAAAGTATGTTCAGATAGATTTCAGCATTAAGATTCGAGCCAAAGGAAACAGGTCGAACAGTTTTGTTGCCCATATCCCGCACCACACCATCAGTGTTCCAGCACCTTGCATCTTCGGCTGACTCATACAGTGAGGGTTGGAATCATTCCAGTAACGTAGGTTTGGAGAATAACTTCTCCATTAACGCCAAAATTGGCTTCATCAGGTTGCGTTGGCCACCACTTTGTTTACTACCCATTCTCCAAATTCCATCCATCTACCCTGGCCGTCTTCACTGAGACGCTGCAACAGTTGCATATTACATGGATGCCATTTGTGGTTCTTCAAAATGCGCATTATACTCGATCTGCTAACACTGCTTTCTGCAGCCAAACTTCGTGTGCTTTTTTGGGGGACTCATTTCGAATGCATCCAGCACTACGTCTGTTGTACCTTCCTAATTTGATGTACATGGATGACCACTTCTCGTTTGGCCTGTAACACTTACAGTGAACTTTATATTATCAATAAGTTTGGCAGCAGTGTCATATGTAATGTGCTTGCCATGTTTCCTTTCAAAATCCGTTATAACCTTGCGGCATCTTCCTGATCCGCCAATCAGAAGGATTTCTGTACGTTCTTCTTTTATATTTTTACATTTTGTTAGAAAGTGTTAATTTCTTATACCTATGGAAACTTTTGGACCACTCTGTATAACCTCTTGACATCTAGCGATCAAATATTATACAGAGGGAGACTATTTTGGAACCATACATTGAAAATGAGAGTTGACGTACCGCGTTTTTAAATCAGAATACCTAGATGAGGGTTAGAAATACAGTCACTAGTTATTCGGAAAGTCGGCGTATGATATGCGGGGGGTAATCATTACGTTACAGTACAAGATAGAAATGAATTTGTGTGTGCATTGAAAAATGCTAACCTTCCCAGATCACTATTTTGGAACCGTGTTCTGTGTATGCCATCTGCAACGTGACACAGTACTTAATCTTATATTATAGCCGTCAACACAAGAAATAAAACTGAAATATCTTCAGTGAAGACAACAGATATTGTTATACGTCTTACTTATGTAATGTGAACATAAATCATGTTACATGTTTCAACCTATAATTTAGGTCATCATCAGGCAAATCTTTTGTGGTCTGTAACTCAAATAATTAAAATTAATAGTCATGACATGAATCAGTATTTATGCAACAGATGTCTGTTGTTGCAAGCGAATATATATTTTATAACGTCAGCATAGATCCATCCATATACTAATACCTGTACAGTGCGTTCAGTTAAGTAGGAAACTTCGCAACAGCGCTGATCCGGCCCAACATTCCTCACAGATTGCTGCTGTAACTGCTGAGAGCAGGAGGAATCATTAGAACTGAAAAACGCGCGCGGTTACAGTTACAGCAGCAATCTGTGAGGAATATTGGGCCCGCTCAACGGTGCTGTGAAGTTTTCTCCTTGATTGAACACCCAGTATTTCAATAAAATTCATTACTTAAAGCTAAGACTAAGAGAACATACAAGTAAAGTGTAAAAATGTAAAAAGTATAAAAGTATAGATTCCACAATATATTTGAATATAGGCTAATTGTTATGTTTAGATGTTGGGCAAAACATCCGTTGTCTTCATGAAGATATTCCCGTTTTATTTGTTGTGTTGGCGGCTATAACATAGGATAAATATTGCATACACGAGGATGCAATCAATAAAGAAATACTGATTTCACGTCGTAATACAATGTGTCTTGCAGATGAACGAGACGTACCAACATCCAGGCAAGTGGCACGATGTCATCCTGCAGCCTCCTCACGACGAGACTTTCACGCATGTAATGTCATACAACATCAGAGGGTTGGACCATGGCTCCGTGTTCGAAGCTATCGTCCAAGCTAAGAACAGATATGGCTGGAACGAGGTGTCCGATCTCTATCAGTTCTATACCCGTGGTGCAGGTAATGTACTATATAAAGAATTAGTCGCATAACATGTCAGTTTTTATTTAATTAATATATCTTAATTATAAATGAAGAGTACAGTGATCTCTGTAACATTTCAGTGAGATTCTGTATTTATTCATATATCCGAAGTTAAGAATATCTTCACGGAAATGATTAATATACAGAATATAAACTCTTATATGTTATATGAAAATCATTTTGCGATTTTTGGAAAAGGCATCTAATTCTTAATAGCCTGTACTATTTGAAAACTGGAAGAAGAGAATAAATGTTAAGAATTTTAATTCAACATCATATTACAAATTGCTATGCTGTTTCCGGCTCCAGAAGTTTTCAATTGATACTGATGATATGCTATATCAGAGGGTTACTGGAGTTTAGGAATAAGGTATTGTGACATGACTGAAGACAGCCGTTACTAGGTTATGGCACAGTAAACAGGCCATCAGCATAACAGCGATTGCACACGCAACAGAGGAACGATGTTTTCTGTGCGGTGCGTCCCGAGGCAGTATAACGAAGACCAGCTGCCATTGCGAGACAGTCTTCAATGGTAGTTAGAAGAGTAAGAGTTTGGCGTGAGATGGCGGCCAACCTCGTGGACGTGATCCCGGAAGCAGAGGAGCGTCCACTGGTGGAAGATGTTACCAAACAGAAGAGTGAAGACTAGACTGAGAATGCTAGTCTTTGTGTGATAGCGACTGTGAAGTGTAGTCACGGATTGCAAAATATCCAATAAATCCAATTATGAATCCCAAATCCGTTTATAATCACTCAGTCACGTGGCCATGAATGTGAATGTTGTGGACCACTTAGTACCATCTCTTTATTGAAGGTATACGTAAATAAACTTTTGTGACGTTTCTTGTACTACTCTCCATTTTTGACAAATTCGATAATAAACTGTTGTGTCGGAATGACTCCATAATGGACTTTTTGTTGTGCTTCATTTCACTGTTGTTCAGAAAGTAACAAAATATTTCGGAGATAAAATTGGGTGTAATTTTGTGGTTTATCAGTTTAGTTCTGTCAGTCCCTAAATCAGTGCATGTACACTCAGTATTCGTATACGATATTGACCCTCGACTCTTTGCGCTGACCACGCGACACCCTCTATCCGCTAAAGTTGGCACTAACTTCGCCGAAAAGCGGCGGTCGCTCTGTCGATATAGTCCGCTTGCGGACTAAAGCCACGTATTTTTTTTTTTAGTTTATAGGCCCTCGTGGATACGAAAGCTGAATATCAGTTCATAGAACTTTGATTTTTATATAATTTGAATTTAAAACAGGAAGAATATTTTATTGATAGAGACTTATTCATCTACTCGTGGATCCATTCATCCATCTGTTCGCTTACCTGTCCACTTATCGATATACTTACCCATCCAAATCTAAACTTATAGTTTCCAATAATTTGTTTCAGAGCCTGAAATGGAAGACATGGAACTCATCGCAAGTTCGGATTCCTTTTCATTGTTTCCATGTCGGACAATGTTGGCAATACTGTGGATTGCAGTGTCTACTCTGTTTTGCCACTTATAGAATGTGAGTATATTTAACACGAACACTGGAATCTGATTCATAATATAAATTAAGACAAAGATCATATCCAACTTGTTCCTTTAAAAATTTCAATGGATTTTGTCACTGTTGTCTGCAATACTTTGTTGATTTTCCCAGCGCCCCATTTACCTTTAAGTTATAACATAATCATATTTTGCACCTGCATTCATAATTAATGAAAATAATCAACTGACTAAGTAACTCCATAGAGTCCTTGAGAAGGTACTTGTTTTTCAGCTACTCAAGAAATTTCCAGCATTTTATGGAAGTCGAAAGTTCGTTATCATGTTGATAAGAGCCCACTACTGGTCCCTAGCCTGAAACAGACGAATGTACTCCACATCCTCTCAGACTCTTTCTTTAATATATCTTGAATATTATCCTAAGAAATGTGCCAAGAACTTTCTAACAGTATCTTCCTTCGGGATTTCCAACAAAAACTGTATTTGCACTTCTCCTTTTCCTTCTTGCCTCCTAAATGCCTTATCCATCTCATTCTTCCTGATGTGATTATTCTAATAATATTCGACGAGGTGTACAAAGTTCTTAGTGATATCATTCATAATTCATGACAAAGTTGAACAGTTGTATAGAAGATTCTGCAGATTTTAAACTGCAGTCCCAAAGACATTAAGATTCCCTACCACAACGAATTTCAAGTCCCACAGTCCCTGTCTCTTCACTTGTATTATAGTGCATATTTTTTATTATGCTTTCCTTCTTAAAACTTCAGTTTCACATTGCGAAGTGAGCATATTGCTTATATGTCGAACTATTAGTTCCCTAAAGCTGACTCCTTTGTCAGCAGCTAATAGTGTCTGATTTTTTTTTGGAAACCAGAGATCCATTTAGAGAATCCCATTGCTAGACTTTATCCTGAGCCAGATGAATGTAGTTCACACCCTCACGTTCTCTTTCTTTGAGATCGATTTTAATATTTTAATATTGACATTGTGAAAATAAGTGTATTTTAAGGTTTGTTTCTGGATTAGAATAAAATGCCATTGATTTCAGATGTGCTTCTGAGTTAGATCTCTGACATGTGAGAAGTAACCAGCGACATAGATCGCAGGTTGAAAACGACATGTGCTGCTGCTGTCAAGAACTGAAGGAGTTCATGAAGAAGAAAATATGAAATGATTCAGAGAAGAAGCAGAGAGATGAACAAAATAATTAATGTGGTTGAACTGTTTCTTTTAACTATGAGGTTTGTGTCCATCCTCCATTAACCACCCAGTTTGTCCACAAACGAATAAAGACACTAAAAGATATACTGAAGTGACTGAATTATGCAGTAATAATATGCAGACTTTTATAAAAGTGACAGTGTGAAATGAAAGAGTCTAGTTTTTAATAAAGTGTGATGCATTAGGAGAGGCTGTCTCTCTTATCTCTCTCTGTTTTTTTGACCCCACGGTAAGAAGGACATGTGGAAAGCCTGAAAGAACCAAGTGTTTTTAACAGTATAAATGACAGTGTTAATATGATCAGCATATAGTATTCAAAGTTATCGTTTGTGTGATGAAATGGCAATGCTAGAGAAATGACCAAGGTACTGAAGACTAATGTGATGATGAGGGTGAAGAATACAATTAATAATGGAGTCCGTGTTCCCAGAACTGACATGTAACCCCTCCTTCAGATTCCTGGAAATGTTTGTATATAAACAATGTCTTTTTTTTGACATCACCGTCTACATACTGTTGCAAAGATATATAATAATTTTTCACTGTATTGAAATATTGACAAATATGTGGTATTTTTCTTATGACCTACACATTATGTTTAACTAAGCTATTACTGTAATCACTTCAGAATATATGTTCCCATGCCTTTCCCCACTCAGCATGTAAAATTAAAATAGTGGTTCTCAAAATTTAGGTGTACCCTCCAAATATATTTCTTATGGTAAGCTTGTGTGGACAGAAAATTGAAATTTGTTCTAAATAAATATATTGCAAAGTCATATAATACTGATAGAATTAATGGTGTATGTTACCTTAGTTTATAAAAGGAATAGGATGTTTTCTTTACCCAAACCATATTATTTGATTTTAAAACTTTTCTTGTGTTACTAATAGCATGTATAAGACAGTGGTATAATTACAATGTTGCCAGTTTGTTTATTGAAAACGCCCAGACAATATAAGCAATACTGAATCTTACAAAACCATGCGCAACTTTAATATTAGCAAGAATAAAATATGTTAAAAATACATAATTTCGAAATATTCGAAATTTTGTTTGTAGTTTGAAAGAAATTGTATATCCTGTTTTGTATGCTTGTTTATTTATTTGTGTCAGAATAATTGTTACTGGCTTCCTGTACAAGGTATGTTTTTTTCCCTTTCAGGTTTACCTTTCTTCAACTCATTTTATTGGTACCAATTTAAAATTTAATTAATTCTTTGAATGGCTCACTAATGCATATATTATAAATATTACATTACTACATCCAGTGAAACTCGCTAAATCTTGGTTAAAAAGTCACTTATGACACAATGTGAAAACCAAACAGAATACACATAAATACACTAAAGGAACATCATTACTACATAAAAACTGCCCAACAACAACACAGAGATTTAAATAAGTTCTTAACAAATATACTGAACAGCTTTTCTGACAGCTTATGTCATGTCTGTATGTCTCTGTTACATCTACTAGGGAAACCAATTTATACAGGCAGTCTAAATAATTTGAAAACAGAATGAAATATATTCTTTCATATTCTTTTTACAGTAAGCAACATTTCTCTGAGAAACGTGAAATTCATATTGTTGAAAATTCCTGAGATTTACCCCCAAAATCCATATATATATATATATATATA